CTCTCACCCCTGCCCCTGCCCCTCATCCCACCATCCCCCCCAAAATAAAGGTACTACAACAGCCCGGCCACCCCGTACTTCCAGTGCGCCAACAGGCTGGAGGCAGCACTGGACGGATACCTGGGGGCACACCTCGCGTACGACGAGCAGCAGCAGCGGCAGCAGTAGCGGCAGCAGTAGAAGCAGCAGCGGCAGCAGCAGCAGCAGCGGCAGCAGCGGGCCGTCGAGCACGCGCGGCGACGGCGGGCCAGGCCGCCACTGGCCGCCCTGGCCCCAGCCGAGCGCCCGACGCCGCGTCGCAGGCGCTGCGCGGGCGCGCCGCGGCGCCTCGCCCGCAGCCGGCGCTTTGCACCTGTGCGGCGGGGCGCGCAGCCGGGTGCACGGCTGGCCGATCGCCCCCTCGGATTCCAGCAGGCGGCCGCCCGCCTCCAGTCTTTGCTTCAATTTGGGGCAGGGCGGCCCAAACAGTTTCAGCCCCTTTGGTCTGCCGGGACGTGCCGTGTTTGGTTCCTTCTCGCACCTCTGCACCCTCATGCGCACATCAGCCGCGTGAATTGGGTGCGATTGGGCGCCTTGCGCGCCCATTCGTAGCAAGTGCAGCCCAACAGTCTTACTGCACCCTGTAACAACTCCGCCCCATCCAATCCTTACAAGATCGCCGGCTTTGTTTGTCCTTTAATGGCACTGGCAGGGCAGCGGATGCTTGCATATAACCCCCCGCCCAGGCACGAGCGTGCTGCCGCCCCAGGCCGCAACGGTGAGTGTCGCACCACCCACACCAGTCTCTGGCGCAATACACACTGCGGTTGCAAAGTTGGGATAATGCGCACCCCCACCCTGCTGCGCGGTCAACACGTTCCCACAAACAAACACTCGCCTTGTGAACAAAAGTTCTCTGGGAGCTCTGGGCCACTCCCCCGCCGCCGCCGCCCAAGCTGCTACCAACTGCGCCGCTCGACTCGACTCCCCCAAACGGCCCTCCTTGGACCCTCACACAGCCACTCTGCCCCAGCCGTCCGCGCACCCGGACGCCTTACTTGATCGCCACTCCCGACTCCTAGCCTCTGCGGCCAGGGGGCGCCGCACTGTCACCGCTGCTGCGAGCCGCTGGCCGCTTGCTCAGCTGAGCTCTCCCCGTGCCCCCGCGGCCGTCCCGGCCTGCGGCGGCTGGGACTGCCAGGACAGGAGGGCGGGGTAGCAGGGAGTGCGCGGGGGCGACTGCGGGGTGAGCGAAGGGGCGGTGCTGCTCTGTTCACCTCGCGTCCCTGGCGCGGCGCCTCCTTCTCGCTGCGCTGCAGGGCGCTGATCCTCCGCACTCCTGAGGCCGCTGACGCCGCTAAAGTCGCCATCGCCGCCGCCGTCGCCACAGCAGCCGCCGCCGCCGTTGATCGCTCCGCCCCGCGGCCCGCTGCCCGCACTGTCTTCCCCGGCCGCGTCGCCGCCGGCGCATGCAAAGCAGCCGGGCGCCGCCGTCGCCATGAACTTGAACAGAGCAGCCAAGCTCAGCGTGGGTGTCACCGACGCCAGCCCGGCCTTGTTGCGCCGCGCCCCCATCTGCTCCTCCCCAGCGGCCGGAAACACCTCTGGCGCCGCCCCTCCTCCCCCCCTCTCCCCGCAGCCGCCGCCCCGCCCGCGGCCCCCCTCGCGCCGCCGCCTCGTCGCCGCCCGCTGCTGCTGGCGCACGGCGAACCGCGCCGCCCAGGGCCGCGCCGCCTCCACGCCAAAGTTGGTTTTGCCGCCCGCGATGGCCCCCTCGCCCAGCAGATGCAGCACGGCGCCGTCGTAGGCGCGGGCAGCCTCCTCCTCGTCTTTGAAGCTGGGGTTTACGTAAGCGGGGGTCGGAACAACGGGACGCGCACTTTAGTAGCTGGAGAAGGTGCGGCGACGAGCAAGGCGGCGCCAAGCCGGGAGACGGTACGGAACAGAGTGAGCCTGCCGGCTATGACGTGCCAGATTGCATGACTGTGCGCTGGCGGCCACAGCCGCGGTGCCGGCTGTCAGAGCAACGAAGTCAGCCCCGCACCAGCCACCGGCAAGTACGCAGCGGGTGCTTGAAGGCTTTGTGCCCTTTTTCCATCTCTCACCTGCCCACGTGCACGTCCGAGCGCCCGTGCTTCACACGCGCGCACCAACGGCGGTCCCGGCGGTGCCAGTGCACCCCTTTGTACACTGACCGCCGCCCCTCCTCCTCCTCCTCCTCCTCCTCCTCGTCCCCATCATCCTCCGCCTCCTCCTCCTCTTCCTCGCACTCCACCGACTCCTCCTCCCACTCCACCGACTCCTCCGCCGCCCCCACCTCCATTTGGTCGTTTGGCTCGTCCGACGACGAGTCCTCGTCCTGCTGCTGCTGCTGCTGCTGCTGCTGCTGCGGCGGCGGCGACGGCAGCGGCGGCGACGGCGGCGGCTGCTGCTCCATCTCCGGCGGCTGCTGCTCCTGCTGCCGCTGCTGCGCCTGCTGCTGCTGCTGCTGCTGCGGCTGTTGCGGCTGCTGTGCCTGCTGTCGCTGCCGATGATGCTGCTGATGCTGCTGATGCTGCTGATGCTGCTGTTGCTGTGGCTGCTGCTGCAGCAGCAGCAGCAGCTGCCGCAGCTGTTGCTGCCGCGTCGGCGCCGGCTCGACTGCCGGCGCTTGGGCTGCAGCGAATGTCTGCCGTGGCCGCTTTGTTGCACGCTGCTCGCCCCCGGCGTCATGGTCTTGGTCTAAATTGTTCTCGACTACGTCGTGCTCCTGATGCCCCGTCTGCTGCGAATGTGTCTGCTCGTGTGACGACGACTGCTGCTGCTGCTGCTGTTGCTGCTGCTGCTGCTGCTGCTGCTGCTGCTGCTGCTGCTGCTGTTGCTGCTGCCGCTGCCGCCGCTGCTGCTGCAGCTTCTGCTGCTTCTGCCTCTGCCGGCTCAAGTCCTGCTCCGTGGTGGTCTGGTTCTGCCGGCTGACCTGACCAGCCACATCTGTCGCCACCGCAGCTGACGCGTCCAGCGCTGCCGCCGTCGCCGCACCGCCCCGCGCACTTCCACTCACGACGCCGGCTGCTGCGGCCCCGGCCGCCGGCGCACCCAACGTCGCCGCCGCTGTTGCCATGGCGGCTGCCTCTCCTGTCAAGGCCTCGGCCTGGCCGCCCTTCGCCTTGCTCAGCTCATACTCGATTCTGACGATGCTCCGCAGCGCCTGGCTGCCCTGCAGCTGCCCCATCAACACCGTGGCGTCAGCAGCCCCAAAGTTGACGCACCCCGCCTCGCCAATCAGCAGCAGCGCAGCGGCGTCGAACACGCGCGCGGCGAACTCCTCGTCATCGAACCTGTTTTTTTTGCATTGGGAGGCAGCAATTGCATGAGGGGTGGTGCCCACGCAGGGGGTCAAGGCTTGCACCGCACGGGGGCGTTGGCTCTCCTGGTTGCGAGGAGGGGCCGAAACCATGCGCTGCCGGCAGCTCCCATCCGCGCCCGCCCGCCAGGCCGAGGCGTCGCCGCCCGCGCACTTGGCGATTGTCGAAAGGCGGTCCCCTGCGGGCACCTTGACGGCCCACTTGCGCGACGCCTCCACCCAATGGACCCCTTTGAACGCTGAAATGTAGCGCGGCCGGCGCGACCATCCCCACGGCGACCGCCGCCGCTGCCGCTGCTGCTGCTCCTCGCCATGCCGCATCTGGTGCCTGCACACCGCCCACCACACCACATGCACAGCCTTGGCCGGGTCCAGGCGCGCGCCCCTCATCACCGCCACCGCCTCTTGCCACAAGCCTTCCGCCAGCGACGGCGCGCCCGGCGCGGCGTTCAGGCGCGGCAGCAGCTGCCTCAGCGCTGGGCTCAGTTGCTGCATGTGCTCACGCATGAACTCTGCGCTGTCCTCTTCCAAAACATGCTCCAGCCCCTGCTGCAGCTCCTCCAGCCCGCAGCGCAGCTCGGGCGCAGCCGCCCACTCGCGGCCGCACGCGGCCGCCTGCTCCGGCGGCCGCTGGCCCGGCGGCGCGGCGGCCAGGGCCGCGGCGGCGCGGGGGTCGTGGCTGCGGCACCAGCGGAGGAACCCTGGGGATGGCAGGTAGGGAGGCCTCGCAAGCGATGTTGCGGTGGGGGCAGGGAGCCGGCCGGCAGGGTGCCCCAGTCTTGAAGATTGAGTGTTGCCTGAGAGAGCACGGCATGACAGGGGCAAAAGCACTTCTCTTCGAGGCCACATGGCCCTGTATTGCCGATGCAGCCCTGTATTGCTGATGCAGCCCTGTATTGCATGCAGTCCGCACTCACCCAGGCGCGGCGGAGTCCACACAAACGGTGTATCTTCTGATAGCTGCTGCTGCTGCTGCTGCTGCTGCTGCTGCTGCTGCTGCCGCTGCTGCTGCTGTTGCTGCTGCTGTTGCTGCTGAAGCTGCTGGTAGAGCAGCGGTTGAATTGACAGCGGCAACCAGCAGCTTAACTGCTCGCCAAGTGCATCGTGCCCTGCCACCAGCCCTGCAGCCGCCGTTGAGGGCTGCGGTGGGGGGGTGGCACCTTCGGAGGCGGGGCCCTGCGCACCTGTCATTTTCCGGGGTCAAAGAGGCAGGTGTATGTGGTGAATGCATCTGGGGGTTGGCGGGGGGCTGCTGCAACGAAGGCACCGGCAATGTGGATGCACAACATCGTGCGTGTTCAACGCTCGATGCCGTGCCATGCTTGCAAGTCGTTCGCATTACCATCCACGACCCTGGGGCTCAAGACACAGATACGTGAAACGTGTTTGCTTGAGGCCTCACGAGTCCCGCAGGTGACTCGAGCAAGAGCCGGCACCTGCAGGCTGCAGCGTGCCTCACCCGTTGGCCCCCCGGGCCCGCTCGCGCCGCCGCGAGGTCCTCGTCCGGCCACGTCGACAGCCCCACTGCCGCGCTGATGTTGAGCTTCCATATGCATACGCTCAAATATCTTCCCAGATCCTGGCGAAATCCTGGGCCGCGCAGCCCGCGTGACAGTGTCTACTGTCTAGCACCAGAACGGATCGACGAGGATGCGTGTTTGGTTCATGTGATCAGATCACATACACAGTGGTGTGGGTTTCGATTACAGGTGTGGCGGAGACGGAGTTTTGATGTTTCGGTTGGGCAGCAGGCTCGCTGCATGACGGAATAACTTTTAAAGACCAACAGTCGCAGCAACTGCATCACAAACCGGTGCTTCATATGTTTTCAGCTTAGGCGGCCGAGGTGATGGCTGCACACAGCAGGGATTTCGCAACCGCCCACCCCCTCACCCCCACACCCCCAGCCCACCCGACCCCACCCTCACCACCACCCTCACCACCACCCCCATCATCATGCCGCGTCTAGCTTGCTGGCATGTGAGGTGCCGCCGCACAAGGATTAGGATTAGGGCTGTTAGAGGATCCCGTGGTCGCCCGCCTCTGGAGCCATCTAGGCTCATGGGATTTCAAATCCGACTTGGCTTTAAGCATCAGGATTGTGTGACTGGGGCTCAAGCAGCCAACGTGCGCCGTTCGAAGCAGGCATGCACAAAGGCCCCAAGTGCGTGCTGTTCTGCACTGCGCACTAACTGCGCGCAGGTTCGCATGCGGGCATGTGCACACAGGTTCGCAAACAAGGGCGCAAAGCGCGGCGCGGTACGCGATTCCGCGTATGCAGGACGGCCAAGCATGTTCAGCCGTTTCACCAAGGCTTGGGCCGTCGCAATGGGCGGGGGCAATGGGTTGGGGTGTTATAGTGCAGGGTGGGCAAAGCCGCGAAGGGAGGAGAGCAGCAGCGCAGGAGCATGAGCGCCGGCGTGTATTGGTGGCTTTGGAATCGGGGCGGGTGTGGCAAAAGTAGGGTGATGTGATGTGGTTTGAATGGATTCGGAGTGAAGACGGGGGCCCTCCGCTGGTACACCGCCCCACTGTATGGTACAGTGAGTCCCAGTCACACACTTGAGTCCCAGTCACACAACGCTGATGACACAACGCTACATCCCATGAGCCTGGATGGCTCCAGGAACGGGCGACCGCGGGATCTTGAAACAATCCTCCTCCACCTCCAGTGAGCGGCGGCCACGTGTGCAAACACTGCCAATCACTCGCGCTCCTCTCCCTCCAACGCAGCAACCAGCTGCCCCATGCCCTCCCCCGCCCCCC